AATAGCAGCTGCTGATTGTTCATCTGTCCAGAGATAACAAACAATCCTTCTTTATTTGTCATAGTTACGTTTTTTTTCTTTTTCCTGACACAAACTTGCATTGCTTAATTAATTATCTGTATCTGTATATTATATTCGGTACATATCCAGCTGTAAATGTATTTCATAACACTAGTGATCTATATGTTATATTCAATATTTATAATAGTATTCATCGCTATACTCATTCAGTAGAAATACCCACGTCCTGTATTTATGGTACCATTATTTATCCTGCACTTGCTGCTTTTGCACTTCTGGTTAGACCTAAACTGCGTTTCGTTGCCTTGTACCTGTACATGTGTAATGACAATAAAGTTGAATCTAATCTAATCTAATCTAATCTAAATACAGATGCCTGTGGCCATAATCTGTATCCAATGCAATGTGCTGACATGGGATACAAATATCCATTCACAGCCTGATTTATATTAATGATAAACATATGCACATTTTCACCCCCTATTTTATTTACTATGTTCACTCACCTGACTAAGATCATTTTTTTCCTCGTGCTGCCTTGAAATTACTTTAATTACTTGATGTAGAAAATAACTTTGCCTGTTGTATTTGTCTTAAGGTTTGCTGCAGGCAACAGGCCTCATTAAAATGCCTCATGTAAGGTCGTGCATCACTAATGCTGTGAAAACTATACTGCGTTTGTCTGCGTTTTATTTTTCTAAACTGGTTGGCTCTTCAGGGTTTGTGTTGCTTCAGTTCAATACAGTAATGATACAGCGCTGGTGGATGATTCTTTTATTTCCAGGTGGATCATCTAAATAAGTGGTCCTCTTACTGTCAATCATTCTGGTGATGAACTGTCAGGACATCTACAAACTGTGTCAGTTTTGTTCCATAATGCAGGGCTGTCTCTGAATGTTAAAAAAAAAACTATGTCTGTCTGTTTCTCTTCTAGGACCAAGCCCATATCTCAGGAACTAAATTTACAGATAAATGGAGCCAGAATCCAGCAGTTCTCAGAAATCAAGTATCTAGGACTAATACTTGACTCACAATTGAAATTTGACAGCCATGTAAAAAAAAGTGTCCAGAGTAACAAAAGGAAACTTGTACACATTCAAACTGATTAGAGATTACCTACCTTTTCACACTGCTGACAGTTTTGTGCACTCCATGATCTTTTTACGTCTAAGTTACTGCATTAGTTCTTGGTCACAGGCCACAAGCACTACTATCAAGCCTCTTCAGATGATATACAATAGAGCAATAAAAATCTTAGATACATTTTGAGAACTTTGTCAAATTTGCTCAGTTAAAACTAGTTTACAAATGCTTGCATGATCAGGCCCCTGAGGTTTTGAGTGACTGTGTAGTTCCTCTCAGAGCTGTGGGCTCAGTTACAAGAGGAGCTCACAGTGGAAACTGTCAAGTGCCCAGATGCAAAACGTCCTTCAGACAATCAGCTTTCACTGTACAAGGCACCAAAACATGAAATATGTTACCTCCAGAACTGAAGGGAGAGTCAAACTGGGTCCTTTTTAAACATAAACTTAAAGACTTTTTTTATTGAGAGGTCAGCCATTGTGAACATTAATAATCTAACTGACCTGATCTTGTATCTGTGATGTTTTAGTGTGTAATTTGTTCTGTTGTGTCTTGTGTACAGTCACTGTGTTTTGTGTAAAAGCCTAACTGGGGACAGGCATTGAGAATTAGCCTTAGCTAAAATGTTATAGTGTGTGACATGATTCCTGAAACATACTTGTCCCTATCAAATAAACAAGAAAAAAAAAAAATGATACGTTAACGTAAGGTCGTCCTATGTGCTCGCCCCATTAGCTATCTTTTTCTGAGCATGGGCAATTTTGCCCGCATTTGTGAGGTGAGCTACGGTTTCATACAGTCATATTCTCACAGCTTTCAAAATGGTCGTAGGAGAAAAAGTGTCTACGATGTTTATTAGAAGAAAGGAAAAGCCTCAGAAGAGGCAGATATATCCTGGAAGGCTTTGGATTGAGAGCTCTCCTCGCAAAGGCTTATGGGATTAGCTGTCACAGCAGCCTGCTGTTGCCATACGCTGTCGCTACCCAACAGGTAATAACAAAGATGGCGCAGGCAGCATCCAGTGGAGGAGGAGTTATGTGACCAATGGGGAATGAAAAGCAGTGATCAACTGTCCGCACGGTCAGTTAACTGAGTTTGCTATAGAGTCTACTATATAGTCCCCACCAGAGCATGTGAGCGGAGCGGTTGCGCGGAGCGAAAGAAATATGATGGAGCACAGAGAGGTTTTTAATTCAAAGGCCGAAGTAAGGATTTAGCTCCGCTCCAGTTCGCTCTGATGCGCTCACAATACACGATACATGTGCTGTGTACACACAGCACATGTATCGGTCACGTCATTAAATCAATGCCGTGTGTCCCAGGGCACTGGCAAAATTACATGAAGGAAAAATGTCACAAAAGGCCTTCTCCTGAAAATTTGAGCGAGCGTGGTGCGATTTCGCCAGAGCGGCAGGAAAATTAAGGTGAGCGAAGTTTGAGCAGCAGTGTCCTGGCGCAACTTTGAGCAGCGGAGTGAATAAGCGAACATCCTCCTGGGCGGGGAGCGAGATTTGAGTGGTGCTGCGCTCTGTTCACATGCTCTGGTCGCCACTTTATATAGTAATTGAAGGATATAAGGGTTAGTGCGGACGTTCAGGGAACAGTAAGCTTGTATGAGCTATGAGAACAGCAACTTTAAAACAGAGGGTGCACAAGGAGAAATGGGCTCATTTAATATGCGTTCTCTCTCGAGGAGCAGGTACAGAGTTGTGCATGCGTTTTTTTTTTTTTTAAAGTGGAGAGGACGAGTCTTTTAAAAATTTAGCAAAAATCCTCCACAATACCTCAAACTGTGACAGCGTTGCTTTTCAAAAATATTTAGCTTTTCAGATATGTAATGGCACTCACATCTTAGTAAGTGGAGAGTCATATCACTTATACCCATGACCACCGCTGCTTGGGTTAAGTGTTTGTTGTCTAGAAGGATGATTTTAAAGTCTAAGGGAAACAGCTGTTCCAACCGTCGCATTTCCGAATTCTCCCGATTGGTGCTCAACTTTACATGAGTGAATAAAGTGAATGTGATTGGTTGTTTATCAAGAGGGCGGGATTGTTGTTGCTGAAGGTTAGCAAGCAAGTTTGGTTCTGGCCGGTTCCTCGGAAGCATCTTGCTTACCAGTTAGCAACTTATTGCTAGTAGGTTAACAATGGGAAATTCCATTTTAGACCAATAGAAACGACACTGTCAAGGAACACTATGGACAGCAGAAACATGCAAGGGGAGGAGAGTTTTGTGTCGGAGGTCGTGGATGGGTCTCCTCCGTCATACATTTTTTATTTAGAGGAAAGCGGGGACGAAGATGTTGTGGAAGAGGACGCCAGTGCGGCAGAAGCTTGGTTTGGTGTAGAAGGTTTACAGACGTACATGTTTGAGCTCTTGCCTCACAACGCTGCCAGTTCTGTTAGCTCTATGCCTGCTGAAGACACACACGTCCATCCCCGTGAACACTGGGACGCAACTCAATGGGAAAGTAAATTATTCTGATTTCTCATTTCAACAGTTGAGTATATCAGCTGCGACATATGAATCAAGATGCTATGACCCAAAAAATTTGATTGACAGATGACCGTTGATATATGATTAGCCGAATTTAGGTGTACAGGCTGACGTATTACTAACTGGCCTGCATAAGATAGCGAGAAAAAAACACGACAAAATATGACAGGATTTTTAGAAATTCTCTAAATTTTGGAACAATATCGTCTGAAAAAGAGTACATAAAGAGTACATTTATATACATGTTAATAAATAATACTACTTATACTTCAGCGATAGTATCAAGGTGTTACTTTATTGTATCTCTTATACTATATCCCTTGGTTGTGCTGTTCTTTTCACATCTCTTTGCAGGTGATGAAGCAGACTAAAGATTTTTTTATCATTATCTGTCTTTTATCTCCTCTTTCTTTAATCCTTTCTCCTTTTTTTCTGTTTCTCCTTTCCTGTTCTACTTACATTGCAGTGTCCATATAATCTGTAAAACTCCATGCATAATTATAATAAAGCTATTTATATGCATAAATCAGGCGGAACACTATGGCGATAGCTGTACTGCTCCACTTGTATGTATGTATATATATAT